ACATATATTGAGCTTTCTCTTTATATTAGGGTTTTAGATTATGCAATCAAAAGAGGGTCGAACATCAACTTTAACCACTGAATTGTCAGAGACTAAGCCTAGATGGACACAACAGCATCGGGGGCGGTATAAAAAGAGCCAGCACCATCCCAGAGGAGACCATGTTGACTCTTTTAGCAATACAAATGTTGCTCTGACAAGAAATCTGAGAGAAGACACACCTAACACTGTTGAACCAGTGGCTTCTTTTGCACAATCTAGCCTCACGGGCTCTGGTGCAGTTACTGCTAATTCTCATTCCTATTTCAAAAACAAAAAGGCAAGAAAACCCGGTAATAAACCTCGAAGTGGCACAGCAATGACAGAGCAAAGTTCTTCTCACCATCTTCAGCCGCCAAAGTATCACGAGAAAACTGAGACGGCATTATGTGTGCAATTGGACAACCTTGATAATTTACCTCCTCGCTCCCGGGAGCTGGTGCAGCATCTCACGAATAACACTTACGAATGCTTGAATTGCCTCGAAATAATAAAGATGAGTGATGCCATCTGGTGCTGCAATCGTTGCTTTATTATGCTGCACTTGCGATGCATCCAGCGATGGGGGCGGGAGGGGGCTAGCAGCTTTCGTCTCAATGAAGCCAGCAGCTTGTTTTGCTGCCCACAATGCCGGACGGAGCATATTGACTCGGTCAAAGAGTACAAATGCTTTTGCGGCAAGGTGACAAACCCACCTTACGACCCCTTTGTGATTCCACACAGCTGTGGGAATACCTGTGGAAAGGCGCGGATGAACGGCTGCCCACACCCGTGTGCACTGCAATGTCACCCGGGCCCGTGTCCTGACTGTGCCGCTATGATCGGTCCACTGGCTTGCCCATGTGGTTCCTCAACCTACAGCTACCGGTGCGGCCATCCGGACCCTCATCGAACCTGTGAAAACCTCTGTGCGAAGATCCTTAGCTGCAATAAGCACTTCTGTGAGCGAAAATGCCACGTTGGGGATTGTGGCGACTGCTCTAAGCATGTTACCGTTACGTGTCCATGTGGGAAAGAAACAAAGCAAGTTCTGTGTAGTTCAGCCACTTTTTTGTGTGGGAAGCCGTGCGGGAAGCCCTTGACGTGTGGCAATCACAATTGTACTTTGAGTTGCCACACTTCCGACTGCCCGCCTTGCGAAAATGACCCGTCTGTTGTCCAGACATGCCCGTGTGGGGCGACACCGCTGCCATACCCGCGGCAGTTGTGTTTGGATCCCATTCCGTTGTGTGGAGGAATGTGCAATAAGTTGCTAAAATGTGGGCGACACCGCTGCTCGAAGGAGTGCCATACAGGCCCGTGCATGCCTTGTACGGCACGGTTTGAGACTTCTTGTCGCTGCCGTCAGGTGCGAAAGCTAGTGAATTGTGCCGAGATGGATAACTTTCGCTGCACACGAGCATGTGGTACTCGACTTTCTTGTGGTAGACACTATTGTAAGGTTCTTTGCTGCGAGCATCGAAATCAGACGAATATATCACAACATGAATGCCGTCTTGTGTGTGGGCGGAAGCTTAAATGTGGACATAACTGTTATGAGCCTTGCCACCGCGGGGCGTGTTTGCCCTGTGTTCACTTCACAACCGAGCCACTATATTGCCGTTGCGGACGGACAATGCTGATGCCACCCCAGCCGTGTGATGCAAAACCTCCTAATTGCCGGCACCCGTGCGAGATAAGGCCGGCATGTGGCCATCCGCCTGTATCGCACCTATGCCACTACGGGGACTGTCCTGTTTGCACGCACTTGGTCTCGAAGATGTGTGAGGGGGGACATATGGAGGTTAAGAATGTCCCTTGCTGGAAGCCCTACGTCACGTGTTCGCAGAAGTGCCGTAAACTACGCCCGTCTTGCGGACACGTGTGTTCGCGGCCATGCCATGGTGGGCCCTGCGTCGATGAGCAGCACCCTTGCACGCACACCTGCGAAACCGTATACGCCAACTGCGGTCACGTCTGCGGGCGTCTATGTCATGTGGGATCCGATTGCCCATCTTGTCAACACTTGATGACACTCACCTGCGAGTGTGGACGAATTTCTCGTCGTGTACCATGTGCGCAACTTCGTGCGCAGATTGCGCAACACCAGAAAAAGCACCCTAATGAGCCATTCGAAATTTCATGCGACAACGATTGCTTGCATGAAGCTCGACTTACCATCCTCGAAGCGCTCTCAAAGGGACCAGCACGCATTTCTTCCGCGTCTTCTGAACCACCGTCGTCCTATCTAAAAAGCAGTGATCGCCATCCCCTCATCCCTTTCTTTTATTCTATTTATCTGTGGGAGTACATTTCTGAGAAGGGTGTGGCCATGGTAGAACAAGTCGAAAAGCTACTCAAAGATTTTCTTGCAGGGTCGGAGTCGTTTGCTTCGCTGCCGCCAGCACGTATTGAGAAGCGCATACTTATTCATTCCATCGGTGAATACTACAAAATTGATGTAGAGAGCATCGATGAGGAGCCGAAACGATCCTGTCTGTTGAAACGAAACCCGTCGAGTCACATGCCACCGATACTTTTGAGTGAGGCGATCAAAATACCTGAATTCTACGACCCCCGATTGTTTTTTTCAGCTGTTGTGGATCCCTCCAGAACAGAATCTGTACCACCGACTTTCGCCCCTACCAGCGAACCTTTAGAAACGAACGGTTCCGATAGCAAAAAAGCAGAAGAGAACCTCTTACAGCGAATGATCACCAAAGGTTCTACCAATGAGAGATCTCTGTTATCGCAGTTAGGTATTTATGTCCTTGGCAATGCAGTTAGCGAGAAATTATTGATGCAGCTTCTTTCCCCAGAACTTCTTGGGTCTTTCGTATTTGTCTTTCTCGAGGAGTGCGACGACCGAAACAAAGCGCTGCTTGTCTTTACATCAAACTCAAAGAGACAAGAAGGGAATAAAATGCTTCGACAAAAATCCGCCCCATTTCAGTATTGGGTTCCAATTTAATGAGCAAACTTGATATGGTGATACCGACGCTATTAGGAGGGCATAAAATTTTTACTCTTAATCGGGCTAAATCGTGAAATTTTAGCACGCTCTTGTAAATTTTAAAATATTTTACCCCTAAAAGACTAAAGCAATAAATATCAACAGCCTTTGCCTTATTATCATTAAATTTATTTTCATGCTTTCTATTTAATTGACGTTTAAGATTAGGCCAATGCTTATCCGATCAATTTGTATTGGAAAATGATTCAATTCAACAACGGTGTGAGTTGCCTTTTACCCAGTGATCGTAACGTCCTCTAAACCTTAGAAGCCTGTATTTATGGCATGGCTATTAGCGTTCACTGGTTCTAACAAAGCATACTCTCTTTACATGGTGGCTTTGAACTAGTGCGTGGGGTAGTGAGAGTCTTAAAGCAAACATTGTCTTCATACAGTGTTGGTTTTGTGGGTGAAAACCATCTCATACTAATTTTACAAGTGTTAAATATTAAAATTATTAGTTATTGACTAAATAAATGTTCATACTGATTAATTCACAAACTAATGGATATGAATTATTGTTAAAATGCGCGCTGATGTTGTTTTTTCATCGTATTTCAGTTTAAAAAAAGGTGCAAGGAAAGTATTTGTTCGGTGAGTTCACAGTTAGAGGTCTGAAAAGCGAGACTGAACTGGAAATCGTGACTTTTGGAAGCAGAAACAGCAGAGGAAATACACTAATCGAACTGTATCAAGAACACTGAAAGATACTAAAGTGCCTTTGTGTGTGCGTGTATTTGTGTGTGAAAATCAGAAAAGCATTATTTCAAATGATTAAATAAAGTATAATAAATACTGCCATATGGGTTATTCAGATCTACAATAATCACTCCAAGGTAACCTATTTCAACTCTCTTGTTTATTTGTTTGTATTCTTCTCTCTCCAATAGAAACAATAACAAAGATACAATTGAGTGTACTCAAGAACAATTCTGAAGTTGGGTTATAAGAAGTCCTCTGCAGTCTTGGGTACTTCCTATATGAAAAATGGGCACTTGCATCTATTTATTAACTTACATGGACTAGACAGCACATTAAAAGGGGATATAATTACCCTTTTCTTGTGCAATTAAAGGATACATGTTAAACTTGAGTGCTTTATTGAAAATATTCACTTGGATGTCGATCTATTGGAATAAATAAAGTTAGCCAGCACTACGACAGTACGATTCAGGCATTCATTAGGGAGCAAGGGTTGGAGGAGAATTTGAGCGATATTTTAAATATTCAAACTATAATTTCAAACGAAAGATGTTACCAATTGATTGGTGTATGTGTGGGCAAACGGTAAACGTATCAAGACCACACATAACTCGGAACATCAATTACGCACCTCACAGTGAAATAAAATTAAGATTTCAAAGGATATAAGGTACAACATCAACTCTGGGAGATGTAATAAGGGAGAAGAAAATGTTATGCATTTATCATTTATACTCCAAAGATTCATAGCTTCAAAACCATGAGTTTTGCAAAGAGTTTTCTTGAAATGAAAGTGTGATTCAAGAAGAAGGATTTATGACCTTTTTTCATTATCAAAAGATTAATTCCTCTTGGATTTTTTCTGTAAACAAGGCGTATTGCCGTAGGAATCGGACAGACTCAAGATCACCAACTTGCACAAGTGCAGTTCAAATGTTTGGAGACACAACCTGCTAGCCTTGATGATCGGACACAAACAACCCACTCAATGTATTATTCACTACATTTTGCGTTCTTCTGTAATCATTTTGATATAAAAAGGCCTTTCCCTTCCCTACATTTCTATTTTGAGGCTAAAACCCCAAAATAACTTTCCGAGAATTGAAAATCCTCTCAGTTGTGTGGTGTGGGTGTATTCCATTTCTTTGTGAAAACCTGAGCTGTGGCGAAGTTTGTATAGAGCGGGATAGCGCTTGGTTCAGCGTCAGGCAAACTACCTGTGTTTATTCTGAATGATTATTTCACGCAGCGTGTGCTTATAAGTTGACTTTGAAGCACTTTTTTTGGGGGGGGGGATGGGACAGATTTACCCCTCCTTGTTCTGAGATTATGCCGGAATGAAAGAAAGTAAACGAGATTCAGTGATACAATGTCGTCGTAAGTCGAATTCTAACTGAAAAAGATATACCGTAGTTTGGAACACTTTATGTTGGCTCTTGCAAAAGACACAAATGATTGGATTGACATTCGCAGAAGGTCACGCGATGCTTTGGGTTGCTCCTTTCTTCTGAATTCATGGGGCCGCTGCTATGACTGCTTGCAATGAAGTCGGGATTACATTTTACCACCTCCCGTTAACTGTCTAGAGAAGTTATGGCGGGTATTGGATCGACCTCCTGCGGCTGGGGGTTTCCGTGATCCTAACGGAAGCAATGGGGCTGAACAGACCATTTTAGGGGAAATCCTCCCCAGAAGTCTGACAGGCAATGTACAAGGTGGTTTACGGCTTCTAACAGGCAACACCTCCTTCGATAAATGCGCAAAAGTGGATTTTGCCAACCGGGTTGTTGGTTTGACGTTTGGTGATGGAGGCGTGCTTCGTCCGCGGGGTGGAAAATTACTCATACGTGGAGCCACCACTTTTTACTATCAGCTTTGATGGTTGCCTAAAATTAACGAAAAAAAAAGGTTAAATCTAAATCTATTCTACCATCAGAGGGTAATCTATCAAGTGAAAACAATGAAACTGAAGCTAATGAGGAGCAACAATAAGAGCAGCAGGAATGTCGTAATCAAGATTATAAAGTTGAAGAAAAGGAAACACCTGAAGAGGAGTGTGAAGCCTCTTCTAATTATGACGGATCACGTATTTATTTTATTTTCTCAATATCATT